GGACTCAATTGACTGCAAACTGAGGGCTTAATGGTTAAAATATTAGGCTAAGGTTTTTATAGAGTGTCATGTAAACATTAGGGGCTAATCTGACTATGAGTACCAAACTTAATATTCATATAAACTTTAATCCTGAATCTACCATCATTAGAAAATTCTAATCTGACACATATTCTACTTATATTAATAGCCAAACTCTGATCCAAATCCAAATATCAACACTTATTACATAGTTTTGTTCTTCTTCCTACTTGCTGTATATAGCCAAGCTCGTTTTGATTGTAATGCTTATGATGATGCCAATAAGATTAATGGGAGAGGATCCTAAAGCTATAAATTTCAAGCAATGAGATCCGATGTACCGTTGGAAAAGAATCTTTAACAAAATCATACCGAAGGTTGAGTCAAGTGTCTTCTGATTCAGTTTTAGAGAGGCCACAGATAACCAAACAAGCATTGGATTTTTGCAATTATTATGATATCAAGCTCACTTTATTTCGTGCTCCTATGATGTCTCATGACTTTTTTGTGCATCATTGATCTTCTGTAGGTTGACGGGTTGACTGAAGAGCTGTGAAAATTTTCGCACGTAAATGGTGGTTATCGGTGTATTTGCCCTGTATGAGTCATCAAATGTGTCCTACCTGAAGGTTTTACGTCTTAAATGGGGCTCTATCTGAAGGATTTTTTCCTGGGATATATGGCCGGCCACAAAGCCGTGGCTGACAATTTGGGGGCCCGGTTCTAAATTTCAATCGGGGCCTCTTAATCAATCTTCAGAAGAAATTAATAATTGTTTTTATACGTAGTACTAACCATGGAAAGAAAATTTTATATCTAGAATTAAAATAAACACTAAGACATAACAATGGTTCTATGCAAGATAGGCGCGGGTCTGAGAGGAGGCGAAGGAGCTGAGGCGGAGGGGAGGAGGACAGGGAGGCGATGGACGGTGAAGGCGGAGGGGAGGAGGATAGGGAGGTGATGGACGGTGAAGGCGGAAGTTGGCGGAGGAAAGGGAGGAGGAGGCTTGGATCATGAATGGAATGAGAAGGAATAACCAAAATTAGCACCATTAACCATGTACATTAACAAAGTGATCACATATAAACCACTCATCGAAAATGATTAGTTGGATTTGTATAGAAATTAACAACTTTTACACACAAAAATGAGGAGTTTTATACTCTTTATTCAAATTTCAAAAGTAACTGGATCTTTGTGTAAAATAACACAGCTCCCAATTATTCCTCTGCGTGTTCATCTTCTTCCTCTCCTCACATTGCAACCCATCAAAGAACCTATTATTTGTTCTTGATTTGGCATTGAAAAATCAATCAAGAATAAAATTAAGAATTACTACACGGTTTTGAAGTTTCATGTTTTTTTTAAAGGTTGGAGACAGAGAGGACTAAAGCTAGGAATTTTGGGGGTACCAAATTGTCGAATTAATCAGTTCAAAACCATTGGGGTACCAATTTACAATGCAGAACTTCAGAGTATCAAAGCTAGAAGTTAAAAAGAAGGGGCTACATCATTGGAGTATTATAGTTGAAATAAGCCTTGTTATATATTCTATTTCCATTTAAATCATGAAAGTAAATAAACCAAACATAGCATAAACAATCTTTTTTTCTACCGGGCAGTAAATGAATGAGCTGATAATTACAGTTCAAAATGCAAAATTACAGTTCAAGAAAGCGCCACAAGAAATGGAAACAGAATTCACCTGAGTCTGCAACACAGCCTCGATCTCCATTAGCATTGCGGCCGAGATCAACACCAGCTCATTCTTCCCCTTCCTCCCCCCAGCCTTCCCCCTCTTCCTCCTCCTTCCAAACGAAGACGGTGACCTCTTCCTCTCCTTCTCCTTCTCCTTCTCCCTCTCACTCTCAGCAAGCTCGTTGTCAATGCTCCACATGTTGTCCTTCTTCTTCAACCGCGGCCTGATCGATTCCCCTCTTGAGAGGTTGCAGCAGGAGATTCTAGGGCTCAGGGATGAGATTGAATGAAAAAAATTAGGGATTTCGGGGTGGAATTGAAACCCTAGGAATGGGCGGGGGAGGGAGAGATAAAGCAAGTGAGCCTGTCCTACGGCGATGATGGTCTCAAGACGCTTCAGGATGGAGGAGGTGAGAAAGGCGCCGCCTTTGACGGAGCGGCGGTTGGCGATTAGGGGCCCCCCCAAGTGGGGGGCCCTGTTCTACGGAACCGGAAGTTCCGCCTCAGCGGCGCCCCTGGCCGGCCATTTCCAAGATGAAGCTTTCAATTGAATGGCGGTGTGATACATGAGCTTGTTTTTGATGATTATCACACTCAGCTTTATTTTGAATGGTTGCATGTAATTATGAAAATTTGTTGTTGATGACGGTCACTTAGCATATAATACAAACAATATTTAAACCTCGCAAGTTCTTTTTGTTGAGTAAATTTACATATTACAGGATGCAAAAAATGTTTATCATTAGTTATAACAGTGTAACCTATAATAATCTCTTGGAGAAACGCTTCATACTTTAAAGCAGATCCCTAGACCATGAATCTTTTTTTTTAATTTTTTTATAACCTAGTCTGTGATCACACCCAAGAACATGGCAAAGCCAAGAACATGACATACATATTGAAATCTTCTAAACATCTAGATCACTAATGGATCATAACCTAAACCCTAAACCCTGACCCCAAACCCTAATCCTAAACGATAACCCCTAACCTAACCCTTACCCTAACCCTAAACCCATCCTAACCCTAACCCCTAACCCTAATCCTGACCCTAATCTCCCCAACCGACCCTGACCCAGGCCCTAACCCTAACCAAACCCATCTAAACCCTAACTGTAACCCTGACCTTAAACCCCAACCCCAAACCCAAACATAAATCCTAACCCTAACCCTGACCCTAAACCCCAACCCTGACCCTTAGCCTAACCCTAACCCTAACCCAAGATTTTTGAAATTAGGAGAGCAAGTTTTTCTAGCGTCTCTAATTTTCAAGATTCGTCCCTTTTTATAAAAGGAAAATAGCCAACACTGTAAAAGAAAATCTCACAGAGATTTGCCCTTTATCTTAGTTTCTGGTCTCTTCTTCTCTTTCAAGTTTCGGGAATAAACTTATTTGATTATTTTTTTAAAACACTTTAGACTAGTTGGATATTTTTAGGTATTTAAATCAAATAAATGAAAGTTGAAATTTATTATTTATTTTAAAATATTTAAACCAAATAAATAAAGAAAAAAAAACTTACTGTTCATTTTAAACCAACCGTCGAACTAAAAGTTTCTTTTTAACACAACAGTCGAGCTGAGCTATGAGCAATTTGGAAAGGATTGATTGTGGCTTGGGACAAGGACTATCGAAGGGTTTGGTTATTAGAAACAAATTGTCAAGCGGCGGTGAGTTTATTGACTTCATTTGAACCTCTTGATCAGAATTTTAATATTCTTTAGAAAATTCAAAGCTTGTTGATGAGTGAGTGAGATTAATGCAAGGTTTATCAGATTTGGAGGGAGGGCAATCGATGTGCGAACAATTTCGTGAGGTGCGGGTTTAGTTCATCATTGTTTTATATTTTCTACCCCCCAACCAAAAAAAAAAAAAAAAAACAAAAAAAAACAAAATGAGTTGAGGTAGATGCTTGAAGACGATGATAGGGGAATTGCTCTTCCCATATCAGTGTCTCTAACTTAGTTATTGTTGCCTTGTTACAAAATAATAATAATAATAATAATAATAATAAATAAAATGAAATAAAATAAAAAATCACAGTTATAAATACAAATAAGCCTTTTCTATACACACAGTTTCAATTCCGTGGCCAAACAATCATATAATGATGACGTTTGCATCCACATTGTTTGATTCCTTGTGCTGTATGCGTGACCAAAATAAATACATTAGTCTTAAATGTTATATCGTTTTTCTCTTTGTGACCAGAATAAACATCTTTACCATGATTGATTGAACTCAATCTGACGATACCCGGTTTAGTTAAAAAAAAAAAAGATAAAACATCACCAAAAGCAAATATAATCCCCGCAGGCATTACAAGGATTTCAAAACCTATAGAACACCTATAGGAGCAAGGTACAAAAGGAGTTGTTTTCTTCAGTGCACAAAGTTAATTATAGGCACTTTACATTCAGCAAAATCACAAAATCATTCATGCATAATGACTAAAGCATGTATCTCACTTCCCCTATTTCATTTTCTGGTGAAGGAGAGCAAAAGTCAAGCCTGTCTCTTGCAAGCCACCTGGGTGGCAGGTAAGTGCTCGCGCTTGGGCCAGCGATTTGATCAGACTCAAACCTGGATGGTGCATAGGTTTGATATCAAAAATATCAGAAAGAAATATTAAAGAGAATATTCTAACCAACAAAAAGTATAAGATCAAGAGCAAATGATTTTCTTCAGAAGGAACTGGCAAGAAGACTTAAAGTTGGATTTGGAGGAGTATATGATTTACCCAATTTCTAGGGTGGGTTGCAGTTGAAGGGCTTGGAAGAATTCATGCCCTTGTGATTGCACATTTGCTCCGGTTGCCCAAACTTGATGAGTCGCGTGTTTACCTTCTTCCCTCTGTACAATCCGTTCATCAATCTAACAGAGAAAGGACTGAGAAGAAGGGAAAAAGAAAACCGAAAGAATAAATATATGCATACCTTACACCAAAGGTCCTTGTTAGCCTCACTTAACATTTTTTCCTACGAAAGATGAGCAACATATGCTTGATAATTGAATTAAATATATCAAATGATGTGATTTTATTTGCTTGTGATTGTACCTTCCTTTGGAGGTCAGAGAGCTGATCAATCGTAATCTGGGTCTGCAAGTAATAAGTATAGCTTTTAGTCGATGCAAGAATGAAAACACTAAAGTTCATGATATTCTGTTTTGGCTGCAATGAAGGAATTAGAGTTTAGAGGAACGGTGAGTGAGGCATTTCTGTTGGCTGTGTATAATAAAACTGTCACTTAGATGAATGATATTTCTTGATACTAAACAAGCGAAAATAAGGGCTTCATACTCGTGTAGATCTAATATGCTTCAATGTGGTATCGAGCTGTTTTTCAAGCTGATCAAGATCCTTGCAGCTCAGTGACCCCAGATCCTCACCAAGTATATTCCTGGATATGAGCATATAAACATTGGACATTATTAGTTAAAAGTTGATTGCAGACACGCACCCTATACTTAGGGGTAAATCAACTGTCATCTTTGAACTATTTTACTATTCGACTCTGACTGATTAATAGTTGACTTTTTATCCTTAGAAAGTCTATCTGTAAAACTGTCACTTAGATGAATGATTGATATTGATACTAAACAAGCGAAAATAAGGGCTTCATACTCGTGTTAATCTAATATGCCTTCAATGTGGTATCGAGCTGGTTTTTCAAGCTGATCAAGATCCTTGCAGCCCTCAGGACCAGATCCTCACAAGTATATTCCTGGATATGAAGCATATAAACATTGGACATATATTAGTTAAAAAGTTGTTATTGCAGACACGCCACCTATACTTAGGGCGTAAATCAACTGTCATCTTTGAACTATTTTACTATTCGACTCTGAATGATTAATAGTTGACTTTTTATCCTTAGAAAGTCTATCTGTAAATAATATACATTTTCTTTCTTAACCCCTCCCCCCACCCACCCACCACCTTCTTCTCTCCGTTACTCTATCAGAATGATAAAGTTTCATAGCAAAGTGACAAAGATTTGCTTGTCATAGTTGCAACTTTCTATTACTCATCCAATGTACTGCACTTAAGTTATACTCCAACCTCGTTATAATGGCCACATCATCAATCTTGATTGCCAATATAGAAAATTGATGGTAGGTTTTTTTCAACAGAGAGAGAGAGAGAGAGAGAGAGAGAGAGAGAGAGAGAGAGAGAGAGAGAGAGAGAAATGTGCCAGAGAGAGAGAGAGAGAGAGAGAGAGAGAGAGAGAGAGAGAGAGAGAGAGAGAATTACACATATAATAACTGATTTTCCCTCACGCTGACGAAAATTTCAAACATGCAACCAAAACTTGGACATTATCGAGAAATTTGTATTCACCTATGCAGTTAGCTAAGAGGCTTATACTCATAATAGAATTAAATAGGAATGATAGCTCATTTTCACTCAGTCCACATCAATACAAGTCACATAAATAATCTTCAGCAGTTTTAGGGTGTTTCTTCTTGGTTGAATGAGCATGCAACAAGAGGTAGAGGTCCTTATCCATCATGGTGTTCATATCTCAATAATGTTTTAGCGTGGACAAGAAATTGATGAAGAGCTAGATGTCAAAGACCAACCAATCCTTCAACGAGGCATTCCAGGTTACAAACAGTAGAGGACTCAACCATGACGACTGTTACCAGTTTGACTTGAGAAAGGTCAATAACTAAACTCAAAGAGCACAGATGGGGGAGAAGAAGGGAGTGAGGAAGATGTACATATATTTTTGTAAAGACAGATCTCCTGAGGTTAAAAAGCAGAAAATAACTCGATCACTCATATGCACTGTATTTGTTAGTAAAATAGTTCAGAAGTAATGAGCGGTTAGTCCTCAAATAACAGGGGCTGGGGTGTATCTCCAATTCTAGTTAAGGACATAAATATCGATGCAATACTTCTATTTCACGAATTGATTCTTAAGTGACTATAGACAATAATCATATGGGTTATTCACCTTTGCCAGCGTTGCAGGTCTTCAACGCGCCCTTTGAGTTGCAAGTACTGTTGATGACTCTGCATTAACTGAAAAAGAAAAGATTAAGATTTTCTTAAGATTTAGGTTTACAAATATTGCAGATTGATAAGAAATCTAGTAGCATAGCATGTAACTCTTTTTGATGGCTAATATACAGCTGCGCACAAGAAAAAGGTCCACAATAATTTTTCGATCAAATTAATTTTAAGGAACATAAAGAGTGATGAGTTTCACGGTTGGAGTTCAAGTAAAACTTCAGCTACTATTTCATTCTGATGACATTTGGCTTGCATATTTGTATGAGAAAATCATTATCATACTAAATTTGCTTTTGGACCTCCATTAGTTGCTGTCAACCGCATTTTTTAGATCAATGAAAATTTCTCCCGAGAAGGCAATATACTCTCTTGGAGGGAAGTGATTGGTTTATTTGTGGTAGATGTAAGAATCTGGTCTGCATCCTCTATGAGGCCTGTCAGCCTACCAGTTTGCCTCTCGAAGGTTTACAGGTAGTCAACCGAAGCACCAACTAATGGATCAGCTGACTGATCACCCAACTTGTTGCAGCGGATGGGCTTCACAGACACAGAAGATGTCTATACAAGAGTGGACAAATAGAAAACAGTACACAAGGATTTAACGTGGTTCGGTCAGTATGACCTACGTCCACGGGCGAGAACAACAGAGAAATTTACTAACCACCAAAAGAGAAGAATACAAAAAAGGAGACCACTCTCTAACCAGAGACTCTCACAAAGAAATGGACAATATCTTTCTATCTCACTCTCTTCTCTCTCTAATTTTCTTTTCTCCGACTGATGCATTAAACACTCTCCCCTCATCCCCCTTATATAGCCATAAGAAAATAATAAAATATACAAAAGTGGTTGGTGAGGCATTGATCTGGCATTGCAAAGTTTGAAAAAACTCCACAAGAGTTAGGCAAATGAAGACATTTTAAAAGGCATGTGACAATCTCCACATTGACTTTGAAAATAAAGATCTTCTCTTTACTCTTCTGGCGAGACAGCAAGAGTAAAGAGAAGATCTTCATTTTCAAAGTCAAGGTGGAGATTTGTCACGTGCCTTTTAAAATATCTTCATTTGCCTAACTCTTATGGAGTTTTTTTTCAAATGAAGACATTTAAAAGGCACATGACAAATCTCCACCTTGACTTCAAAAATGAGGGGAAGAGAGTGAGGTAGACAGATATTGTCCCTTTCTTTATGAGAGTCTCTGGTTAGAGAGTGGTCTCCTCTTTTGTATTCTTCTCTTTTGGTGGTTAGTAAATTTCTCTGCTGTTCTCGCTCATGGACGTAGGTCATACTGACCGAACCACGTTAAATCATTGTGTGCTGTTTTCTATTTGTCCACTCTTGTATAGACATCTTCTGTGTCTGTGAAGCCCCTTCGCTGCAACAAACACTCTCCCCTCATCCCCTTTATATAGCCATAAGAAAATAATAAAATACACAAAAGGGGTTGGTGAGGCATTGATCTGGCGTTGCAAAGTTTGAAAAAACTCCACAAGAGTTAGGCAAATGAAGACATTTTAAAAGGCACGTGACACAACTGATTTGAGGTATTTCAAAATCCTAGCTTTGCTAGGGAGTTGGGAGTTTCTCTTGTACACAATACTCTATAAAAGCGAGTTGTTTTCTTACATCCAGGCATGAGGAATATAAGAAAGCTCAGGGAGAATCAAATAGAGAAAGTTTTCCTATCTTCCATGAGAGAGAGTTTGAAGATCACCGATATCGCCTGTGCAGCTTATAGTCTCTTTTCCGAATAATAAAAGATTTAATCGTTGATGCCTGGTAGGACTTACTATGAACCATGTAAAAATCCTTGCGTTGGGGCTATCTATGATTTTCTATGATTGATTTAGTTTTCTTGCTTGATCATGATTTTGCATTGTGCTCAACTGGCTTTCTACAACAAACTAGTATCAAAGCTATAGTTGATTATACTATCGAAAGCAGGATGACTTCACCAAATATTAAGATTGAAAAGTCACCAGGAAGAACAGTTTTGGGATTTGGAGCATGAGGATGAGCTTAAGCAATAAGTAATATGGACTATAATGATCGCCAAAAAGATAAAAAAGATGGTGCAATCTAAGTACGAGATCATGAGATGAAAGTGTATGCCACAATTCAGTTGGTGCGTATATGATAAGATGCTTTGCGAGGTAGCAACGGAAGAAAACTATAACTCTATGAGAGAAATAAGAGAAACATTACGTGGAAACTCCTATACTAACAAATCATATACGAAACAATGCCCATTCACGCTTTGGAAGAAACATGGAGATTCATTGAAAGATCATCTTGACGAATTAGATACAATCTGGTTGGATTTGGAACACTGATGTGAAGACCGATGATCGGTTTAACGCCCTTAAATTATTGTGCTCTCTACTATCATCCTATAAAAAGTTCAGTGAGTTCTTTTATTACTAAAAAGGAAATATTATCTTTAAAGATGTCAGATCTGCACTCACCCTCAAGAATTGAGGTAGAAGATATTAGAAAATAATAAAGGGATCCCGATAAGGGATTGATTGCTAGGACTTCTGTTATAACCAAGGGTGATCTAAGAAAAGATACATTTGATCCAATCAGTAAGGTAGATCAACATCACACCAGAGATGAGAAGATCATATGCTACTACTGCAGAGAGTTAGGTAAAATGAAGTTTTCATGAGAAAAAAGGAAGAAAGAATGATTAGGTAATAACTGAGGTAAGTCCTTATTTGCTGGTGTTGCAAAATGCGAATCATCTGACGCAAGAGATTGAGTTTTCTTAGTTATCAATTCAGGTCATGTGACTGACATGTGGGAGCTAGATTTGAGATGTTCGTATCACACGTGACTAAACAAGGATTAACTCACGTAATATGAGTAGTACAATGATAAAAATGTCTTAGTTGAGAATGATTACAACTATGCAAGGCACTCTGTTAGAGATATGATTAGGAAAGACTTCAAATTATTCTAGTCTTAGGATATTTGGGTGCCCCGCATATTATCATATCTGCTATGGGAATAACTAGAAGCAAGAATGAAGAAGGGATGCTGCTTCTTGAGTATGAAGATTGGGTCAAAGGGTATAGAATATGATTTTTTGAGTCAAAGTTGATACATAGATGTGACACTTGATGAGAGTTTTATTCTTTGCCTGAGAAAGGAATTGACTAGTACTTTAAAAAAAGATTGATACCAGTAAAGCAGTAAAATTTCCTTTGGCTCCAATTAGAAATCAGAAGGATGGATCGATCTAGTAGAAGATCCAACGAAATTAGGAGAATTATATTTAGGAAAGTTCAGGAATATATGGACCATTATGATGCATATTAGGAGTAAGCAATAGAGCAATAGTAACAAGAACTAAATAGTATTACTTTTTGTCGAGCCAAAAGATAAATCTAACTTTCTTAGAAAGTAGCTATTAAGGTATGGTAGCTTATCTACTCTCAGTCATCAAAGAGGTAGAAAACTTTAATCCCACTAATTACCAAGAAGCTATTGCATATTCAAAATAAAAAAGATGGGTTGTTGCTATAAGATGAGAGATGGAACATCTTCAATATATTCCTGAACTTTCCTGAGACATGTATGTTTTTCAATCCACCACAAGGAATGAAGATTGTTGGTTACAAGTGGATCTTAAAGATAAAAAAAATCAAACAACCCCAACACAATAGGTAAAAAATACAATGCTCGTTAAGTTGTAAACAAATATAGTCAGAAAGAGGGAGTAGATTATAATGAGATATTCTCTCTAATTATTAGCTATATAACTACACGGGTGATATATACTCGCTTTGGTAGCACAACAAGATTTAGAACTTGAGCAATTGGATATGATGATAGCTCTCGCTTACGGGGAATTAGAGAAAGAGATATTTATGACCTAGTCAGAGGGTCTTGCAGTTCTAGAAAAAGAATAATATTTGTGCGAGTTGGTAAAATCCATATATTGATTGAAGCAATCTACTAGATAGTGATACAATTAACAATTCATGATAAAGTGTTATTGCAATAGGAGTCCGTTTGATAGTTTTATTTACCATAGGAGGCTTGAGGTCAATTAACAACTCATTTGTTCATTTGCTCCTATATATAGATGATATGCTCACTGCACATGATATTGGGAATGAGATACACATGGATCACGTTTAGGGAAAGCTTTTTTTTATCATGAAAGAGCTACATTCAGAAGGTACTGAAGATGTTCAGTATTTCTAGAGTAAGTACTGCTTACAATTTATTTTTTGTCTTTCTTTCGAATTATAACCACATTTAGAGGCTGAGACTAAGTATATGATGAGGGTCCTATATGCAAGTACCGTAAGTTTTTTGTTATACACTATAATGTGATGGAGATTAGAGTGGGGGCTCTGATTCGAAAGTAGAGGGCTCCCAAATGTGTTGCCTTCGATGGCAATGCAGATCTGATAAAAAACATGAGATTCTTGCTATTATGAATTTTGGTGGATGCTAGAATTTAAAGAGGATCTGAAAGGGGGAGGGTAGAATTTTTAAGTATTAATAACTTTCCAGAACTGTGTTGTAAGGCCTCAATGGTGAGGGACCATAACTCATTAAGGGTAAATCAGTGGAGATTCCGCGACGGTGATACTCGAGCGGCGATCATCATCAGCGTTCGTAGTTAGATTTGAAGAATTGTGGCATCATCAAGGTAGATGATGTCAGATCTCGAGTAGGTGGCTAATAGATAGTAGCAAAATTATCGTTCTCACGGGTGAACAGTACGTGTGTTGTTGTTCATCCATGAACACTAACTTCTTTTTTGTTTGTGGGATCTAAGGTTGAGATTGGATGTCTAGGATGAAAATAGAGAAAGTCTAGATAAATAGCTAGGCTTCACACACATGGGCTTCGCGCCCCCAAAAAAGGCAAAGCCCATACCAAATAACATCTCACATGCTTAGAAGAGAATTCTCAAACTCAAAGTTTTATTCATCAATGTCTATTTTCTTATGAAGGATTACATCTCTTATTTATGAAAAAAAAGAAAGCAACTAAACACTCGAAGAAGCAAATAAAAATCTTAATCAAATTAAAACCTAACAAAATTAGGAGATACAATCAAATGCAATCCTAACTAAACTAGAAAGAGATCAAATTAAAATCCTAAGTAAAATAAAAGATTACATGGAATCAAATTAAATCTTACTAAAATAAAAATTATTCTTATAGATTTTAAAATCTTTTGATGGATAGTGAACGATTATCCTGCATCATAATGTGTACTCATTCTAACATTGCACATGCTATTATGTGGTGAGCCATTAATGGCATGATCCAAAAATATTTATTGATAAGTAACTAACTGAATATTTTGATATCTCTGAGGAACAAGGATTTTGATGTGCATTTGAATGTGACTGAATACACAGATTCGATATCTAATTTATGCAAAAGTTAATGCATAGTTGGAGGTTGATATTTGTCGTTGTGGTTGTGGTTGTCTGTATTTTTTGTGGTTGATTTGTTTTGCTTTCTTGATCTTCATTTTTGCGGCGCACTGACCAAGTTTTTCACAACTGAGAGTTGTATATGAAGTGATTGTTTTGATGTGCTGGTTTTAGGACTGAGCTCTTATGTTCTTTTTGATATCTAGCCTTGAATTTAATTTTCTGTTGGTGAACTTGGAACAAAGATGTATATTATGGTCCCGTGATTCTCAAAATTGTCGGCATGCATTTGCAAGAAGGTTGGGATTTTTAAATAATTTGGCTCATCATATAAGAAAATATTACTTCAAATAGAAAAGGTAGTCCCATATATAAAAAAGGGAAAGAATAAACTATAGTATATGTAGATTAATGCAATTTAGGTGTTCATAATAAGTAACTAAAATGAAGGAGATTCGGTGCAACGCATAAGAGCAGTTGGACCTCACCACTGCAGTACTTTAACAAATCAATTTGCTAAATAAATGAAAGATTTTTTACATGAAAACCACCTTAAGTTTTGTGCGAGTTGACACTTGCCATCTTTATTTATTGGTCAAAACCACTTGCATATGCTTACATATTTGCAATGTCACATATTTTCACTATTCAGCTAAAAAATTTACTGAAATACACATTTTTACCCCTATTAACCTTCTTCTTTCTCCACCTCCTTCTTTCCTTCCCTCTCACATTCTCCCCTCTGTCCCTCCCTTTTCCTTCTCCACCTCCTCCATCATCTAATCCACCTCCACAATTTCTCCAAACCCTAACTTCTTCCCTTCTCTCCTCCCCCTCCACTAACGACTCACCTCCTCTCTTCCCTCTTCTCCCCCCTCCCAATCCTCCTCCACCTCTAGGATTTTTTCAAACCCTAACCTCTTCCCTTCTCTCGTCCCCCTCTGCCAACGACCCCCTCCTCCCTACCCTCTCCTCTCCCCCTCTTTGTCCTCCTCTTCTCCCTCGCTAACAGTCCCCTTCCCCGCCTTCCTTCCCTCTCCTCTCCCCCTTCCCGTCTTTCTCCACATCTTCCACCATCTCCTCCACCTCTAGGTTTCTCCTTTCCCTAACTTCTTTCTTCTATTACTCCCCCTACCACAACGGCCCTCTCCCCCTCTCTCCCCCTCTACCCTCGGGGGAGGGGGAGGGGGAGGGGGAGGAGGGGAGGGAAGGGAGGAGATAGAGAGAGAGGAATATGGATGAGAATAAAATGGATATTTTAGAAATTATTTGAGCTAAATAGTGAAAAAGGTGACATTGTAAAGATGTAAGCAAATGTTGGTGGTTTAGATATAAAAATTACTAACTGCAGTGAGCATTAGTTTAGATAAAAGTTAAGGTGCTTTCCATGTAAAAATCCCATGAAGTGACAAGTTATACCTAATATCCCATATGCATATAAACACACATCACCTTTGCCTCAAGAAAATTAACTTCTGAAGCATGAAAAAAAGTTCTGCTAGTGTATATGAAAGTCTATTTCATCTAAGGAGAAGTAAAATTACCTGAGTTTCCTTAATTTGTACAGTATTATCCGGTGCCGCGTTGCTGTTTTTCTCATACTTTTCAATCGTTTTTAACATGCTAAGAACGGGAAAATTAGAATCTTCATAGATTATGAAAATATAAGGCAAGTCGTTAAGTACATGGTTAATTCATATGCAAAATCAGAATATTTAGATAACTATATAGCAACAACAAGTTTCATATTCCTTTTTCAAGCCAGATAGACATAGATAATACGCGTAGTGAGTAAATTATTATGAAGGTTCTATCCTCCCTTGAATCTTAATAAATGTTTTATGACTCTAAAATATTGCCTGTAAAGATTTTCAGAAAGTGAGGAAAAGCCTACTGGAGTTTATAAAGCTTTCATAAGGGCGGTTATTATGAACAGAGATTGTGATTTGATAACATGATCAGTAAGTTCATTGGGTCAGATGATGTATTTGCCAATTCAAGTTGTATTGGTGTTAAAGCAGAACGAAGCTACTTACAGAATATTATCCTTTCCGTTTACCTTCTAGTAATAGTTAAAATCTGAATAATTTTCCAACACAATGTGGACTTTGTGAAAGAAGTGGCCAGAGGATTTTTTTTCCCCCTCATAAAGTTGTGAAAGGATTAATTACTATTCCACTACAGAAAACAACAATTGCATCAAAATATTAATTTTATTTTCTACAGTTTAGTGGATAGATTGAATGTACACCGCAAGAGGCTAACTCTTTACATAATATTTAAAGCTTGCACAATAGGGTTTTCACAAAATGCATTGAATCCACTATGAAATAAAGAAGCAGATAAACAAGTAAGCACCCATTATAAGCTCAAAGGTTTATGTGATTTTACCTCAGACAAGGGGCTAAAATGAATAGAAAAAAGATGAAATGAGCAAATAATATATGGATACAGCAATAATCATAACTTGTTTTCGTTAAAATTTTGTTTCGCTTGAATTATAAACTTGAGCTCTGCCAGGTAACATGAAATTAACAATTTTCATTTCTAATTTGAAAGATGAAAAAGGAAAGATACAATATTATCTTCCAACTTCTCCTCGGTTTCCTCCTACTTTCTCCACTAAAGCAAGGAATTGAAAATACACAAAAACCAAATATAAAAACCTGCACTTTTCTTTCACTTTTATGTATGTCTATTCACTTCTATTTTGCATCTTATTCAAAGTTAAAATCACTATATATTGATTCATTTTGCCCCCAACATATCAAAACCCACTAATAATTATCTAAAAAGCTATTAGTTCACTCAGGGGCGGATCCAGGATTTTAGTTCTGGGGGGGCCGCGTACAAAAGATAGATGAAAAATTTTCTTAATGTACTTTTATTCACAAGAGATATACGACAACCCAAATAAAACGAGTAGAATAGCCAACATCAATATCTCCAAAATATTTCAAAAGAGGAAGACAAATATTATATAGAAAATAGTCAAATAAGAATCATCTATTTTTTTATAACTAAAATTTCTCTAACTAAAAGGAATTCGACGTTCCTTAAAATTTTCTAAGTCTTCAATGATAGCATCAATGCTCAGACTTTTAGCAATTTCTCTTTCAATAAACACCATTAATGCGTCGGAGAGGAAAGCATCCTCCATTTTGCTTCGAAGTCTAGTCTTGACGATATTCATAGCTGAGAATGATCGTTCTGCAGTAGCAGTAGAAACTGGAAGAGTAAGCACAAGTACGATCACTCTAAAAATGAGGTCGTATGTAGCAGATTTATTAGTCTTTACCAACCATTGACACAACTCAGAAATGGTTGAAAGAGTTTTAAAGTCTGACCCTTTGACTACATTATGTTCATAATGTTTCAGTTGCATCTTCAAACTCTCTTTTTCTTCACTTGTAAAATCTTGTGCATAAAACTTGCCAACCAATTTGCATATATCTTGTATTCTCAAAGCCTTAGATGCATTTTGAGGATTTAAGGCAGAACTAAGCATGAGCAATTCTGTCGTATCTTCACTAAAACGCACATTAATTTCTTGCATTTGTGAATCGATCGCGGCATAAAAAAGTCTACTCGATAATGATGCCCAATGGTGATGTCTTGATGACCACGAGCTCGACGTCGTCTATCAACATACCGAGCACTAAAATCAGGAATATTAATGTTACGAGCCACACAAAAAGACTTCACTTTTTCAAGCAAATTATCCCACTTGTCATCCCTTAACTCTTGTAGTAATCTTTTGTAGATGACACAAGCTCCATTGCATTCGAAATGCTTTGAGACTTCCTTTGTAAAGTCTGGCAAAGAAAATCTGTGATCCCCATAATCTCACTCATTAGATGTAAGATAAATACAAAATCAAACGAAGTCATTTCATCATAAACAGATATTGCATCGGCTCGTTGGGAAGGAAGCCCATCCTCCATAACTTTGAGCAACGCCGTACATGCTGCACCGAACATCCTGATCAAACTTAATAATGATCTGAAATGAGAACTCCAACGCGTATCAGCAGCTTGTTGTAAAGTGCCGATCTGATTAAGTCCAGGCCCTATCTCAAGTTCATTAATAGAAATCAAATGGGCAATGTCATCCACGTGAGCTTTCTTCAATTCATCATTACGCTTGCAAGAAGCACCAACCATATTAACTATAGAAATTAATTTATCAAAAAACATATGAATGGGAGTTAGATTTTTTGCTGCCGCAACAAGAGCCAACTGTAGCCGATGAGCAAAGCAATGAACATAGTAAGCAGTCTTACAATCTTTCATAATCAAAGCTTGCAATCCATTGAATTCACCCCTCATATTACTAGCCCCATCGTAACCTTGACCTCTAATATTTTGAACATCCAAATTGTAATAAGCCAAAGTAGAATATATGGCGTTCTTTAAAGTCAAAGCTGCAGTATCGAAAACATGAACAAGCCCAAAAAACGTTCTTGAATGAATCCATTAGTGTCCACAAACCGCAACACAATAGACATTTGCTCTTTTTTGACTCATCACGGGCTTCATCAACAATAATACAATACTTGGCAACTCCAATTTCTTCATGAATTGTATTTTTCAATCTCACTGAAAACACATGAAGTATTTGTTTTTGAATATCATAACTTGTATATTTGGCAATTTTGGGAGCTTTCGCAATTGCCTTTGAAAGTTCATCATTCTCCATGGCCAGCACATCCAAAAATTCAAGAAAATTATCACGATTGGACGAACTAGATTTCTCATCGTGGCCTCTAAACGGAATCCCTTGGAGTGCAAGCAATCGCACCACAAGTATGTGAGCTCTTAATCGAAGACGATTTGTTACAACTTGTTCAGCATTGAAGTTGTCAAATCGCCTTGATATATGCTGCGGTTGGTTCATCAAATCCTCACATGCCTTTTCAGCATTACGATGGAGTGAAGATACATTATCTTTTCCTATTTCAATGAAACCCCCTTTATTAATCCCTTAAGAATAACCCCCTTTATTAATTCTCTACTTCCCAAAATACACACACACACCCGTTCAATAATACCTAAAGGATATATCACTCATCAAACAATGGAATCCTCTCTTATCTTAAAAAAAAATCTTTTTTAATAAAAAAATTCCAATGGGATGGAATCTCTACTTCCCAAAATACACACACACACCCGTTCAATAATACCTAAAGGATATATCACTCATCAAACAATGGAATCCTCTCTTATCTTAAAAAAAAATCTTTTTTAATAAAAAAATTCCAATGGGATGGAATCTCTACTTCCCAAAATACACACACACACCCGTTCAATAATACCTAAAGGATATATCACTCATCAAACAATGGAATCCTCTCTTATCTTAAAAAAAAATCTTTTTTAATAAAAAAATTCCAATGGGATGGAATCTCTACTTCCCAAAATACACACACACACCCGTTCAATAATACCTAAAGGATATATCACTCATCAAACAATGGAATCCTCTCTTATCTTAAAAAAAAATCTTTTTTAATAAAAAAATTCCAATGGGATGGAATCTCTACTTCCCAAAATACACACACACACCCGTTCAATAATACCTAAAGGATATATCACTCATCAAACAATGGAATCCTCTCTTATCTTAAAAAAAAAACGATTTTCTAATAAAAAAATTTCCAAATGGGATGGAACCTCTACTTCCCAAAAAAAAAAAAAAAAAACTTTTTAATTTCTCCAAAATGTTTAGCTTATAGAAGGAACCCATAACTTCTGACACGCCATTTAGTTAGTGATCGATAACCCGTATATAATCCCTAGTTATCGAATATTAAGCCAAAACTGAGAGAAAAATACCTCGAGCTGCTGCAAAACTCTGAAAGCCTTCCTCGATTCGAGAACACGATAACCGCCACCTCAGCATCGCAGAGCACCGAGAGCTCATAGGCTTTCTTGAACAATCCCTTCCTCCTCTTGGCAAGAGTCACTTGCCTGTTGATCTTGTTCTCGATCTTCTTCATCTCAACTTTGCCTCTCACCATTTTCCCCTCACAAATTTAATAGAAAGAAAACCCTAATTGATCCCCCCACTCCCCCTCAAAAAATTTATAAAAAGAAGCAAACTAGGGTTTGCTATTTATAGTAAAAAGGGCTGTGACGGACTTTGACAGTGGGAGCTTTGTCGCTTTGTTATCATTGCTGGCTTGCGTGAGGTGGAGAAACCTTAAAAAGGGTTGGGGGGGCTTTACTGACAGAACGGACACGTGTCGGTTGAGGTGGAGAAACCTTAAAAAGGGTTGGGGGGGCTTTACTGACAGAACGGACACGTGTCGGTTGAGGAGAGGGGAGGTGGCGTGCGTGGGTCTGACGCCCATGTGACTGAACCTGCGATCGCCTCGCGATTTGGATGGAGGTGGAGTTTTACTCGTTGGTTGTTGTTGGCGCTTTTCGTACTGCGGTTAATTGATTGAAATTGTCTTTTTTTTTTTGGCTTTCGATAGGTAATACTTAGACATGGATTTGTTAGGTTATTACGGGATTGCCACTCATGACTAGGTTATTTAACCTAGACGGTTAGATTTATGTAATATATAATTCCTAACACAAAGAGTGCTAACCTTGCTAGGGAACTAAACTTAGTTTTTAGTATAAACTTAGTCAAAATCGACTCGTTTACTTCATTTTCTCTCCTTCAAAGGTTTTGGATTGGACCAACTCTATTGGACTAATCTTAACATGGTCAAGGACTTAACCAGGTCGAATGGTTTTGCCGATCGAACAAGCGCATCCAAAAAGTGACGGGAAAATAAAATGTTTTTATTAGGAGCAGTGACTTGAAGTTCGAGAATTTTGATATTCTTTAGTAAATGAGTTACAAGTGAAAACAGTTCATATGTTCTTAAAAATGTGTATTCGTATTAACTAAGTTGACTGAGTATTCTTATGGTAAATTGCGAATAATCCCCATCATCTATGCTTTCATCAACCTCACATATTTTTTTAGTAGTGCTCATCGCTCCTAACTTTTTTTCCCCCTTCATTTTGAGAAGAATAAGATGTGAACAACCCCCTCTCCCTTATAATTAAACTGAGGGGTGTATGTGCCAATAAATGAGTTAAACAATGATGATAAGTGCTACTAAGTTAAAGCTATATAAATTAAGGAGGTTTTCGACAACTTACCCTTGTTTACATGAGCAGAAGAATGAATAGTTAGGACCAAAGATTTAATTTTTCACACACATTTTCAGTGACTAGCTTGACATTGTTATTTTGATGCTATTAGTATCTAGGAAATTTAATGTTTTAAAAGTTTGTATCAAGAATCCGATCTATTGAAAAACAACAAAATGAACGTATCATTGTTAAAGTATTAAAGAAACAGAGAGAAACCTCTTATCACTTTTCATTCACTCTAGCAAATTAAGTACCATCCACTTTATGACCAATATGGTCCTTTACTGTCATCAATCTGTATGATTTTTTGTTCGTGATATACTGTCAGCACTGAGCTTAGATTGATGAGCTGAGCCTTTTTTTTCCCTAGTGGCAGACAAATGATCTACAGGGATCTTTTCCCTTGTAGAATGAGCAATGCCATAATCTTTGTTCATAAACTTGTTAACGGGGTCTACCCGACTCTTACGATCATTGCATTAAATAATTTATGTGTAAGTTACGGTCATCCGTGAAAGAAATAGGAAACTTACAGAATTAACAAAGTTCTAGAAAAGCATAAGAGAACTGAATTAGGGTTTGGAAAGGGTCACTGCGATTATGAAGTTTATAAGTATCAAACATTAATCGATATATCTTCCGTTGAAAAAAATGAAGTACATGGGTGGTAAAACCTTCTTCATAATATTGTCCTCTTTTAAGTGTCTAGTAATTAATTTTCTCCATTTGCTTGTAATATTAGTCCTTAGAGATTGAAGAATATATTTCCCTAAATATGAGAGGGTAATTACTTAAGGGAAGAGAGAGGCCATGAACTTAAGATACAAGACGCTAGACACTAGATACAACAACATATGCATTACAAAGTTCGAGTTTTATGGCTACATTCAAATAATAGGAAGATACTTATGCAGTTCATACATGAACAGGCGACACACAAAACAAATGGGTAGATTTTCACAGAGGATACTTGCATTATGATTGTTCTACGCAAGAAAATTATCGTCTTTTAGTTTTCCCTTTTATCAGAGAATGAATAACTAAGAAGTTTATTCATGCCAGCCATCCAGGCATGTAATTGCTCACGCTGGGGCCGGGCATTTGATCAGGCTGAAACCTGAAAAATAAGAAATTTGACATTATAAATCCTGAAACTAACTATTGATTATTAATAATAGATGTTAACACCTCTAGTTAGTTGCATTAGTTAAGCCACAAAAACTGTACACACACACACATCAAAAAAAAAAAAAAAGAAACTAATCAGGATGACTGTTCATAAGAAGATAAATAACAATTCATATTAATTTTTTCCCACTTTGTCTCTAGGGTTTAATTGTGGATAGACCACATGTAGTTTCATCCAATTGCGGATGGGTCCCCCATAGTTCTGTTGTAGCAGATAGACTCTCTAGGTAAGTTTTTTTTGACTCTTTTACCCTTAGGAAAAAGAGAAATTTGTTTTTTTTTTTTGACAAATAGAACTTGTGAGGATAAAAAAGCTAAAAAATTCACTTAGGGTTATCTGCAACAATAGAACTGTTGGGGTTCTATCCTTAGTTGGGGATAGTACAAGGGGCCCATCCTCAATCCTTGTTCTAGGCTGTCATGCATGTCGACAAAATATAATTTAACAAATAGGCATTTCTACTTAAGATGTTAAATTGGAAGCATACCCAATTTGTAAAGTGGGTTGGCACTCAAGGGGATGGAAGAATTGATCTCCGTGTGGTTGATTTGGCTGTCTATTGTATCCCATTGCATTGGCATCCTCCCATACTTGTTGTTGATTAGCCTGGCTGCTTTCTTCCAACTGCACATACTGAGATTATTCAATTAACATTTGCTTAATTTTGTCTTGACAAGAAACAAAAGCCTAAACAACATAAAAGTAGAACTTGTTTATCTCTCTGAATCGGTACGCGTTGTATTATGACGGATAAGTAAATGAGAGTCATTATTAGGAGCGGAGAAATGAGCGAAAATGCTTTCAGGGCCTGTATGAAATTTAACTGTTCTATTGAACTTCATTTCTGTTCTGAAATTTCTCAAGTTTCACAGCACTTGAAGATAAAAAACTTCAAATTCTCTACATTTTTTTATTGTACCTAGAGAAATCTTACAATCCCATTGATAACTTTCCTACAGCAGATCCCACAATTATAATGTTTAATATAATTCATGCAAACCAATGTATCTTTTATCAAGCTCATAGAAAAAAGATATGAATATTATTGGTTATACAACAATAAGGTTTTTCTGTAACCAAGGATGCAGTGTATCCTTTGCCAAGATGATATAGACTACCAACATAGCATGACGTTATGTCCTATTTTCTGGGGTTGTCTTAAGAAGCTTTAATACTTTTCATATTATCATGTAAGATTCTATATTTTCTCAGGAGAAAGAAAAATAATGACGCTTCTATAATCAAATGATAGTGAGCTTCAGACTTCTCTTAATACGGGTTAACTCTCATCTATGATTAGAAGTTTACACCTCATCTGCGATTAAATTGAAGCCAAGAAAAACCAACATACCCGTTTTCTCAGACTCCTATTAGCCTCACAAAGCATTTGTTCCTGTCAAATAGGAGATAAATACTTCAAAACATGGAGACTCTAAAAAATATGTTTATTTTATAACTAATCATACCCTTCTTTGAAGATCAGCAAGCTGGTCGAGCATGTATTGTGTCTGTAAAAGTAAGTAGAAGCATTAATCTTTATCAATTTTAGAGTTATATGTATAACAGTATTTTGTGTAAAAACTTTTTATAAAATAAACTCAATACCCGTGTTGATCTAATTTGCTTCAGTGACGAATCAAGCTGTCTTTCAAGTTGCTCAAGCTCCTTGCTGCTCAATGGACCAAGATCTTCACCAAGAAGGTTCCTAGATTTTGTATTATTATCAATGATAGAAAAATAATAGCAGTATCAGTATATAGTTTTAGAAGTAGAGGTACAATTGAAACCTTAAACAATAGCATTCGATAGGCAATTCACCTTTGTGAGCGTTGTAAAGCTTCAACACGCGCTTTGAGTCTCAAGTACTCTTGATGACTACTCTGCAGCATCTGAAGACCAAAGATTAATTAGTAGACAGTTTAAGAGTCAATAATAGGTATTATATATCAGGGTCAATAGGTTTCCATGTATAATCTCTCAGAATGGTCAGAACTAAGTCCGATATTGTCGAAAGTCAATGATTTAAGATATCTTAATTATTTATTAGAAACTAAGATTGGTCATAAACTATTGCATGGTCTTCGATCCTAATCCACAATTAATTATTAAATGGTTATTAGCCTGTAAATCTTCATTGTCTGCTTCAAGGAACCATTACAGATTAATCACCTGTTTTACCAATGTTATACAAACTATAAAATTTGACTCTTGTTGCAGGGTGTCTTCAGAATTCTTTTCTCTCTCCATTTTGCTTTAGCTACTAACTAGGAATGAAGATGAGTATTATGCGACACAACATACATTGCAAAAAATGTTGCACAGCTAGACATGATAGCATGCATATAATCCTTTGATACATTATACTTAACATATATTTAATCAATGTTTATGTTTAATGTGAGAAAATTCTTTATTTTTCTTTTTTTACTGAGATGAGTGATATGAGAAATATAACTTTTGCTTACTTCAGTTAGCATAATTTAGAGAAATAATTTAGGCAGTTTATCAAGCTAGGAATAAAGGTATAATATTAAAGGGGAAAATTTTAGGGGTTGGTTCCCTACATATTGTGGGATTTAGTGTCACTCTTGATCTTATAACTCCTTCAAAGAAAACCTAGTTTACTCTTAATATTCTAGTATAATTAGAAAAAAAATTACTGAAAGAGTAATCTTTATTTGACAAAACATTTTTTGACTTGTTAGTACGTGTAATTATTGTAAAGTTTTGTGATGAATAGCAACAAACAATTGAACAGGGCCACTTAAATATTTTTAATAGAAGATATGAATAAAGGAACAATTCAAGTAACATAAGAATGATCATCCAGAGTTCCTGATCAGGAGCATAGACAATCAGACATTATACTGTGTATAACAATGTCTACCATATCAAGAGCATTTTCTCTGCGGATCTTTGGTTTGCTTCTCATGTTTCTTGTAAAAAATAGAGATCAGAACCATATTTGCACCAAACCATTTTCAATGTTCTTTCTAATATTTGAACTCAGATTACTCAGCTGTATGTAGGTTTGTTTTATAATAGAATTCATTTGTCCTATATCTTTCAGTTATGTACATAATCAAGATCAACAACTACATCATATAATGTCATATTAGCTAAATAGTAAAGCTCGTTGTAATTTTTGCATCAAGGAATCATATGTTTTTAATGTTAGAAAAATCATATATCTTTAATGCTCTGCATAACTACAAAATACGAAATACATAATAAAATCAAGAACTACACATATAATGTCATATATAATTAAATAGTAAAGTTAGTGATAATTTTTCCATTAGACTCTTTCATTACGGAATACATCATAAATAAGTCCATCCTAGGATATTTCATGGTTTCTCATATCCTAATTTCTAAATGTCATAAGAGTCTAGAATATAGCTAGGACATAATAACTGATGAATGTAAGAAAAGCTAAATTTTAAACATTTAAAAATTGGCTTATTTTATACATTAATAAGACAGCAGATTCTTATCACGCTAGCATAGTGATTAGTTATGTAACTGGTGTATATTTTTACAATTGAATACAACATTTTTCTAATTAAACTTATGTTAATCTTCAGGGACTATATAAAAATCATCAGGGGCTCTTAAATTAGGTCATCTAACCATTAGATCAAGACTCTGAAGTTATGTTAATTATCGAGGCTTATACTTTTGTATTAATTCTAACAATGCGCCCGCAGGTTGAGCGTCCTTTTTTATGGGTCAAAACTTGGACTCATGCAGATACCATCTTAAATAAAGTTCTTTAACCATTACACAAAAACTCTAAAGTTATGGTAAAGATCAAGGATTATAGTTTTATATTAATTCTAATATTTCCCTGCAGGTTAAAAAATAAAAAAATAGAAAAAAGAAAAAAAGAAAAATAAAAAAAATAAAAAAAATAAAAAATAACAAAATAACTTAAAAAAGAAAAAAATAAAATATGAAAAAATATGAAAAAATAAAAAATAGAAATATATATAAAAAGGAAAAAATAAAAAATAACAAAAAATAAGGAAAAAAATCTTAAATTTAGTTCCCCTAATCATTACACGAAAACTCTAAAGTTATGTTTTTTATGGGTCGAAACATGGACTCACATAACGGTGTTAATTTTTAAAAAATCTGAATTTAATTTATGGCCGGTGGGATTTGAACTTGGGTAGCTCTGTTACCATCTTAATTTAGTTCTCTTAACTATTACAACAAAACTCAGAACTTATGGTGAGGATCAAGAATTATAGTTTTATATTAATTCTAACATTCCTAAAAATCAATAGGCGTAGGAAGAGGGCTCCATCCTACTGGGGACTTCTTATACTTAAAATGGTTAATTGTGAAAGCACCCTCTGTAGTATCACTTAGTTTCACTTACTATTCCTAAGGTATTTTTATTGGACTATTAATATTTTCACAAACAAAACTTGTTAAAATAATTCCAATCTTAATTAGTTCACATGCACACATAATAAAATTCCAAAATCAGAAAACAAGTAATATAAAATTAAATTTGATTATTTAATTACTGGAAGATGTAGTCTATATTGTACCTGGCTCTCCCTTATTTGTACACTGGTATCTGGCGCTCCATAACTGCACTTTTGGTATCTCTCAAGTGTTTTCAGCATGCTACAAATGCAAACACAAAGTCAAATTAGAATCAGTGGCCATGCTTTAAATGAGAGAATATGTAACCTCTGGAAAGATTTATACAAGAAGAGTAAATCTACAAGAGTTGATAAACACATGATATAGTTATAGTTATTAGTTATATCTGAACTTCAACCAGAGCTAGAAGGGTCTGAGTTCACAAAAAAACTCATCAACATGAACTGATTGTTCTCATCAGAGAAATCCATGAGCACAACTTAATATGCTTCATTTTCTAAATTAGAAAAATATGACGATGATTCATAGCAAATAGATAAAATTGATAGCATGTGTTACAATATTGTAGCTCGAGAAGTCCATAACTTCGAATTTCAAGGATGGTTTATGACGTTAGGTTTTTTTAGCTTTAAAAGGATTGAATTTAAACAAATCAAGAAAATCCATTAGAGATAACTTAACGAACTACATAGAAGTTATAAAGAATGAACGCATAATCCCAACAGCCTATTCTATCTTTTTTTTTTTGACCGAAAGAAACAGGGTGAGATGCTCTGTTTATATATCATTAACAACCCCAAAACCTATCCTAACCTTGAATTCAATAGCCTATGTGTTCAAACAAATAATCTCCACCAAAGAATAGGGAGAGGACCATAGCCATCACCTATTGTAGTGGGTAAAAAAAGATGAAGAGGAGGACTCAGACTATAGCAGTTCAAGAAAAGTATTAATGAGAGAGTATCCAAAGTTGGAGCTTATACAAAGGTTATATAAATAGGAGCTTACACCAAGCTCATATATACAACACATCCAAAAAAATGATACGGCAGTGTTGAAAGTTAATAATTACAAAAGATAGTTTGTACTAAATTATCTTCTTCAGAAGTTGTCACTCACTCCAGCCATGTCGTGGAAAGAGAAGTCATCCTGTAGTAGTAACTAGGGTAAACCCTTCTCAGTCACCACTCTATGAATAGTGGCAACTCTCTTGGATGTAAGGTTACATGTCCATAACATGATGAAGTGGGAGATATTAGATGCTAAGACATGGGGGAAGAGTTTTGTATCTCTGCATATCAGATTGTTTCTTGTCCTCCATAAACACCAACATAGGAATGGAAATAGAACAACCTACATATGTCTATCTTCTTTTCTTCCCAAAACTGACCCATTGGACTCTATAATAAAGTTGAACTCGTGAAGTAGGCGAGATGTCTATTGGAATGGTAGGAAAAAACCACATACCAGATTCACATAGGGGCAGTTGTGGAAAAGGTGATCATCACTTTCAGGGGCTTCATTACAAAATGAGCAAGTTGTATCCCCGGTCCACCTTTTTGTTAAGGTTCACCTTAGTATTAAGCTTTCTCTTAAGGAGAATCCATAAAGAACACTTTGACTTTGTTGGGGGATTATGGAGTTCCAAATGAAGTTGTAGTCTCTAAATTGAGTTCCAGTGTCATTGATGAAAGCATATATAAACTTAACTATAAAGGCCCAGAAGGGTGAACGACCAAATTTTTATTAGATCTCATGATTCAACGAGTTTTCCTATGTTGTCTTTGCTTTAGGACTTTGTGAGCATGTGTAAAGGCTCAAGGTGGAGCTAATTGAGAATAAAGTCCTTTTACCTACTCTTTGCTAAATATTGTACATATGTAGACTACTTTAGTCCCACATTGGGTAGGATAGTAAAACAATCTCTATTTACATTGTATATAAAGACTATCATATTAATGAAGAAACATATCCTTTTCTTCTCCATCGCTCTGCATTTATCATGGTATCAGAACAATCCAACCAACTCTCCCCTCAAAATCTCAGCCTTACAATCCCAAAACCCTTACAGTGTGGCCTCCACACAAATAACACATCCCTCTCGTGATTACAAAACCTCAAAATCACGAGATTCTCATAACTACGAGATCTTCATGATCATGCACTACCTCCTTGCATAGTAAACTCTAGCTACCACACGCCATTGGCTATCTCCAAGCCCCACACCCACACCGCTCAACACCTCAACTAGTCACTCGATGTCCTGCTAGACCACAACATCCATGCTACTTGATGGCTCGACCACCATGCGGCCAACCGCTCAACCATGCCCACTAGATCTGCACCAACATTTGACCCGCTCGAACAGATCCACACACGCTTGCCCACTATGACGTCTTGTCGGCATGACCGTACCACTACTCATCCACAACACGATCCACTCGCCCACGTCGACATCGCTCGACAACCCGACCTAGAGTCACACTACCACTTGACATTGCTAGATGCTCCACTTGACCACACTTGCTAGATCCACACCACTGCTTGACCCAGTTGAGCCAAAACCGCAGCCACTCGACCACAACGCACTTAGCGTCGATCGCACAACAACACCTACTCAACCATAGAGCATCTAGTGCCGACCAAAGCGCACCCAGCGTCGACCACTCGTCCACACGAACGCACTATCGATGCACTAGGCGTGCCAACTCTATACTAAGGATCGAACAATAGAGCCAAAACTGTGCCACCACATGTCCTGCGCCACCAATCCTAAACTAAAAGTTATCACAGACCTGATTTGACCTAACTTCCCCATCTAAACACTGGTATCACCAATTTCTTCAATCAATCGAATCTTATTTTACCAACATGACAACGCAAAAAATGCACTTTCATCAATAATCTATTGACATCAAACTCGATGGTGATAATTACCGCCTCTAGTCCTACTCTCTAAGTGTCGTCCTTCATAGTCGTGGCCTTTGAGGACATATCGACGGCACCTCAAAAGCCCCAACTCAACTATCCACTACTGATGATCCTACCAAGGATTCTACTACCCTCTCCTCATATGAGTCCACCCTAATGACTTTGACCCTTGCTAAAGATCGAGCTATTGTAGCAATTGTGCAGCCCTTCTCACCCTCCATCCGACTTTAACTTGCACGGTTTGACTCTACCATATCCCTCTAGAAATACTTATAGTGATTCTATACCCAGTCAGATGATGCATGGGAGTTCCAACTATACCAGAAGATCTCCACAGTCACAGAAGATGATCAGTCTATCTACAAATTCCACACCCACATCTTTGACCTTTGGGAATAACTCACACCCCTCGAAACACCCCTTCCTAATGTCTTCTAGAACCATCCACCTCAATAACAAAGATCAGTAATGTCTTTTTTAGTTTCTGATAAAAATCCAACCAAAGTTCGAATCTGTTCATAGCCAACTAATTTATCGGTCACCTAGATGTACTCTCGAGAAGGTTGTCATAGAGTTACAAGTTGAGGAGACGCGCCTTCACCTAACCACTCTTCCTATTAGCTCGAGCTCTATCCAGGTCACCTCCCGCCCAGCACCCCATTATGGTCCCCCACATCGACCACATCCCTCGCTAGCTAGATAGCAACAATCTGGCCCTAACTCCTCCCATAGGCTATGTTTTGACTTTTGTAAGCTCTGAGGACGCTCTATGGACAAGTGTCAAGAAAGACTAGCTACAACATCCCCCACTGTACCACCCTCCACATTGCCTCAGGTGGCCATCACCAAGACTCCATCCACATTCGCATCATCATCTTACACCGATCTACTGCATGCACTACATCCATGAGCTTTCTCACCAACCACAGGTTTGGTTGCTACGTGATATGCCACTCACTCAGGTTTTAGATATGGGTACCACACATCACCTAATGTCACCACATACACCTCAACAATCAAACACCACTTCCCCCCACCGCCATGGTCCACACAGTCGATGGCACATGATTACCCGTGACTCTATCGGTCACCTCAACAATACCTTCCACTTCATAGCCCATAATGTACACCATGTATCTAATGTTACAATGAATCTTTTTTATGCCTGACAGATTACTTTACAAAATTATACTGCTACATTCACTGCATCCTCTTGTGTCATGTAGTATCCTGGCACAGGACAAACTGTTTGCTGAACATGATCTTGGTGACCTATACTACATGGACAAGCTCACTCTCCCCACTTCTACAGCCTTTGTCATCCACCTTCTTAACTCTAAACAAACCACTTGCAATCTCTAGCATCGTCACCTCAGTGATCTATCTCTATCTCATCTTTGTACCCTCTCCTCAATTGGCAAACTAGGAACATTTTCTACTAATGTATTGTCTCCATGTACTAACTGCAAGTTGGCAAAACACTTGGCCCTACCTTTTTAAATAAGCAATAAAATCATATTCGCACCTTTTGAACTAATTTACACTGATAATTGGGGGCTATCTCCACACCCATATTGTGGTAACAATAGCTACTGCATAATATTTATCGATGAATACTCTCTCTTTACATGAATCTATTTGATGAAAAACAAATCTGATTCCTATGAAATCTATAAAAATTATGCAACCATGATCCTGACAGAATTCTCCTCACACATCAAAACCCTATGTTCCAACCCAGGGGGAATATACATCTTGTCGCTTAACCGAATTCTTAGCCTATCAAGGAACCCTCCCTTAATTCTCCTACCCATATGCTCATCAACAAAATAGTGAAGCAGAAAGGGGTCACTGGTACATCTAGAAACCACCAAATCCTTACTCCTATCTATATTTGTATCCGTTCAATTCTAGGCATAAGCCATCCTCATAAGTGTCTACCTCATTAACCACACTCCCTCATCCACACTCAAAGGCCACATCCTTCCAGCAACTACACCACTCATCATGTCACGCCCGGGCCCCAGGCCCGTTGGCCAAGCTGTGGGACCCAACAAGAGTAACTTGATGTTGGCTAAAGTCCAATGCTAAAATGCTAGCACTAGTTATTCTTGTGCATTGGGTTTTTTTTATTTAAACTACTAACAATTCTTCATACTAGTCCATGTGAGACTAAAGTGGGGGTATTATAATCACCCCACCTTATAAAGATGACGTCCTCATCGTCACGACATGATAATTGGCACATCCCAGTATCACTTGTCAAGCGATGTGGATTCTAGAGGTAGCTCTTATAGGCTCTAGATGTG